GATATTGCGATCGTATTGTCAATTATGTTAATTGTTGTTATTTAATTGATGGAGATCTACACGCCAAACGTGTATTCAGAACGTGCATAGAACAGGAGATGTTATAGATCTTTTGAAAACACTAGTTGCAGTCGCAGTGTTGCAGCTTAAAAAGGGGGAGTGTCTTTTCGTTTCCTTTGACAACGAAAACCAATTTCTCAAATTGATGGCAATCGATGTTAATTTTTCTGCGAGTTATTTTGTTCTGGTTGATAATCAATAAAACAGACTAAATCCTGGCAATGATTCCATTGATTCTAGATTGGAATAATCTGATTATTTAAAGACGTCTGGAAGAAGTGTCAGCCATGACCTTGATCTTGATGAGATTTACCAGCCTCACCCAGTAACGCCTAATGTATAGAGAGAAGGGGAATTAAGGCTATAGTTCCTTGTAATTGGAACTTATTGGCAGAGGGGCAAATCTACTTCACCGTAATCAACTTAAATAACATGCAACAGGCATTTGTTATTTGCACAAATTTAACCTCCAGATTGATTGGACCAGGGCAGAATGGCATATCCACCTCACCGTAATCACCTGGGTTGAAGAGGTGAATCAGGCAGTTGGTGGTCATAAATCACGAGTTAACGAGAAACAATATGGTCAAGCTGGTCGCCTGGTATACTGGATAATGTCACGAGGGTTTCACTGTGGTCAGTTTGGCCGTTCTATAAAACAATCGACCTTCACTGACCATTATAGCCATTCAAGATAAGCCAAATTAGTCGAATTTCTTGTCGTGCTTAAAATAGGGAGGATGTGAATTTTGGATAATGTAAAATGTAACATGCCATCCTATCCTGCATTGTTTCTTGGGTGAGGCCCCTCTTATGTGTCTTGGTTCAAGGTAGCTAAGCCACTGGCTGTTCTATAATACAATAATCTTGAACTGACCATTATAGCCTACCTAAAAGCTATTTGGTCAAATTAGTCGATCCCAGTAAAGGGATGGGGTAGAAAACATAATGGATTTCTCTCCCATACCAAGAAGCATTTTATCATGCTTTGGATTTCACATTCTGTTTGATGAAGTGAATTTAACTTACCTCTTGATGCGGTGATTTTCTTGTAGCCTACCTCTTGTACCAGTTTTAATATAAGTTCTTTGAGACATCGGCCTAAAAAGGGAAATGCGTAAATATTATTGTTAACGTAGACTACATTAGGCCTATAAGGTGGGTCGGTGAAAAAGGGTTGGGTAGGGAAGGTGGGGGTGGGGGGTCTAGAGGAACAGTGCGAGGACAGAAGATAGGTCCTTCCATCGCCTACTGCCCTTGGCTCAGAAATTATAGGCCTAGTAACTAAGATTAGCCTAGACTACTTTTGACACCCTCACGATAGACTACATGGATAGGCCTAGGCTACATGAAATTAAAATTAATATTCAGAACCTCTATGCAAGCTACCACCAGATGTATCAAGTCTCGAGTGTCAGGCACTAAAAACTGACCATGGAAAATTTAGGAGGAAATTAGAGATAAAAAAAATCAACGCGAAAATCAACAACTGTCATTTAAACACTAACAATTTGATGAGTATTCCTAAACAATTTTAAAAAATGAAACTTTTTCTCTCGAAAAAAGCTTGAATTTCCAAAATCGACATCAAAACGACGACCCATTTCTGATTTTTCGAAGCGAATATTATCGCGATTAAGCAAGAAGGTTTGATTTGCCACTAATAATCGTGATTTTGGGGTTTGATTAAGATATTTTAGGATTTCCGAATAGGCCAAGTCACTGTAGCACTAGGCCTGTCTCTTGTTAGCGAACCCCTCGTTTACGGATCTACATTTCTATGTACAAAACAGAAAAAAAGGTTTTCTAAAAGATCGATGTATAATAATTGTGCTCACTTGGAATTATAAAGCAATTGTTTCCTTCGCCATTAGACAGAAAATAGGTTGAAAATAAAAGCTTTCAATCTACAAGGTTGTGTCTGCGATTTAGCCATTTATTTTGAGTCGACCAAGGGGAAGTAACTCTCGTCTTACTTAAATCCTACAGACTACAACGAACTTACACATTTTATAACAATGGCCACTGTAAACATACCACCATTATTATTCGTTTGAACTCTATGAAAGGAATGCGGAGATATGGTCCACAAGGTCGATTGCTCGTGTTTCAGACGGATTCTTCTAATTACATAATTTTCTCGATTTAACAAGTTGCACTAGCTTATTAGGCATAAGATTGAAACCATTTGTAATTTCCAAAAGAATGTACCGGTACAATCTTTAATAAGCAAAGACAATGGCGTTTCTTTTGCGGCACCCCAACCCCCTCTCCAATTCTTAATCATTTAATGATTGCCTCTGAGCATGCTTGAAAAATTATGTCGTCCCTTGTCATCAGACCTTATGTTGGAATGAAAATCCAAACCTGTAGATATAGGACCAGTGGTGGGGCAGGATGTCTAACTGGGTAAGCCTGGCTAAGCCACCCCAAATTCAAGTAACACAAAATGCTACGAATATATATGATTTATGATGCTTGTGTATATACATATCATACAATTATTATAAAGTTATTATATAATTCAAACTTTACATAACAGTATTTATATTATCTTATATATTTAACAATAAACTTACACCTTGTTATACATATATTATCACTTCACTCTTATAATATATATCTTTAACTTCCATACTTGGTGGACCATCATTGTTTCAAGGGATTCTAAATAAGTTGTCTACATTTCTTATGTGTATCAGGGACACTGATATCATCAATTTGTACCATTCAAAAGTCGTCTGCGGTTCCTGAAATTCTACTTAAACTAACCACAGACGTCTGATTGAAAAATGGAATGGTGCAAATTGATGCTATCAGTGATACATATAACAATTTTAGAAAACCTCTTCTTTACAATCACTTTAAAGAAATATCATTGTAGGGATTTTGTCCTATAATTTTGCATCAATTATTTTGTGGAATAACATTATTCAAATATATTATTACATCATATCATAAGGCACAAGGAAAATAATATAATCAATTCAAAAATAAATCAATTTCAAGGGATACCACCCTTTAATTTCATACTCATTATTTTTTAATATTATTCAAAGTCTAGTGCTATCAAGGCACAAGGCACATAGAATTATAATCTGAATCTCATTTTAAAGGGATATTACCCCATTAGTAAATACATAATTAGTAATTGCATTTATATGCAAGAGGTATGTTAGACAAGTTCACTTCCGCAAGCACTGGCTATTGAATCACCTGATTTAAAATCTATTATACATAGATATACAATGAAATATAAAATTTCGAAATTATTTGTGCGCTTTTTACTATGAATACGGTATATAATATAATACATATATCAAGACCTTGTTTTTACACATGTACAGAAAAATGTTACCATTTACTATGAGTAAAATCTTATTAGCAGTTAATATTATACGTAAATATACACCCTTTTGTACAGAAAAACTATATACCATCCAAAAAAAAGAGGATTACATATAAACTTTTCAAAAATAAAGAACCAAAATGAACACAAAGACCATTCAATGTAAGCATTCTCTGCCTAATTAGTCTGGAATAATTTGCTCAATAGAGACTGCATTTTTTGCTTAATTTAAAGATGCAGTCCCAAAGAAAAAATATTTTCAAAAATTACTTTGAATTACATTTATATAATGCAAGATAATTTTGAGCCAATAATTGGGCCAATAACTTTAATTATGTCAGTTCTTGAGAGAAATGTTAAATTTCTTGAGTAAGACAGGGTCTGCTGGCTATTGAACTCTCTATTATGAATATTAAGTAATGATTATGCTTGTATGGAGTAGTAAGTAAAATTAAACAATAAAATATCTGTACAGTTCTTAGCTTTTTGTACAAAATTGTTGTATTTTTTATACAAAGTGGTTGTGCTTGTTGTACAAAGTAGTTGTGCTTGTTGTACAAAGTAGTTGTGCTTTTAGTACAAAGTGGTTGTGCTTTTTGTGCAAAACTGATGTGTTTTAGTATAAAATTGTAGTGTTTTTGTACAATATTGTTGTTTATTATTCACATGAGATTTTCATCCTTTCAAGATTCTTTATAATACAAAATTGAGTATCAAACTTGACCCTTGCAAGAATTGAGGGGGGTACCATGTAAACCTATCTACTTTATGTATTATTGAGTATTAATACTAGGTCCTAGCAAGCTATCAGGGGTGTTACCATCTGCTAGATCCAAAGTAAGTACTATTATATGTCATAAGGTGACAACAATAATCACCAGATATATGTAGAATTGATACAGAGAGTTATCAGATGGTAAAGTCAAGATGTAAGTAAGTAAGGTAGGAAGAGGTGTGCATTATATTTGCAATTATACTGTATATAACTCATTGAAAAAAAGATTTGTGCATATCATTTTTTAGATATATTGGTAAATACAGTGTTATCCTGGTACAAAACTTTAGATTGTAATATCCAGTCTTTTAAATGCATGATTTGTTATAACAAAAAGAAATAAAATACTTGTTAATCCTGACTAATGACACCAAACCATAGAGACATTAAAATACAATGTACATTTTGAACGACATTTAGCACCATATATATAAATCGTGGCCTTAAAATCTTGTTCCCATGACAACAAATCCCTGAGATTATATTTCAGTATATATAAAAGTAAAAATTGCAAAATATCTTCAGAAAGCATCCTTTTTCTGTATCACTCTTAAAGTTGTAAAGGCTTCTCCCCTTCTGTTCCACATCCATAATCCATGATAGTATCCAAAATTATGAGAACACTACATCCCAAATTCTGAACATTCTCTAGTCTGAGAATCCACAGAACTAAGAATCTTTAATCCAAGTCTTTTCAAATATCAAATCCTCAATTCTTAATCATCACCAGTATAAATACACATTCACTTTCAAAAGAATTCCAATTGGTCTTAAACGTGTTTTTGCGTCAATAATTTACATATCACTGCTATCCCATCATGCAGCACTTTCAGGATCAGGATGTTTCGTGGTATCTACGAGAGTAAAATCATCTCTTGGACGAGGCTGAACGACCTCTAGCTCAGCTGGGTCACCAATATCCTCATCAGAATCAAGTTCTTCTTCTGTTGTTGTTTGTTTACTCTTTCCTTGGTCTTCCAGATGACCTTGAACTGCAGCTCGAAGCTATAAATAAACCAGACCACAGTCATTGCTTGCAATTTTACAGATAAAATACAGCAGAGAGAAATTTTTTCTTTGACCTGCATCACTGGTACAGCCAGACTGATGTGTATCATGCGGCACAATGCAACATGGACCTGCAGACAGCCAGCTTGTGAAGTCATTCATAAAGGGAAATAACTTACCTCTTTCACCCCCACTACTCCCATCAATCTACCAGTATTGGTAACATACGTATGATTTAATCCCAGTAGAGAAAACAGTGAATGAACCTGTAATAAAGATTCCAGGACAATATCATAAATCAAACTATTATTCTTTCAATAAATCAATCATTAACGAGCAACAAAAGAGATCTCTTGGACAGTTTTAATTAGCAAAATTTAATACTAGCAGTGGATTAGAATATTTCTGTCTTGGTCGAAGCTCTTTTCAAGTGGCTGCACCTGTTAGGGTACTTGCCCCCCTAGAGAAGTGGTTTGCACCCCCAATTGTACCCCCACTTTATTTTCAACAAATCTAAATGTCTACCTTTTTTCTCCAAAAATGTCAGAATGCACAAAAACAATTCATTTTTTCTAAAATTTTCTGGAGAGAACCCTGTCAGACGCTCTATGAGATGTTTGTGACTACAACACCACCACAGATTAGCCAGAATTTGAATTCAGCCTCAACAGTTGTCCCCCCATTGAGTCAGTCTGCCGCCTATATGTACCCCCAGTCTCGGAAGGCTGGTAACGCCACTCCCTGTTTTTACCTATGCTTATAGAAAGCAAGATGGTTACAAGAGGCAACCAAACAAAGAAAAGGAGTATTAATAGTCCAAAACAACATCTATCATATATTACCTTATGTAATGAGGTTCTTTCTACTAACTGGAATGGTGCTGGATCAATCTGAACACCTTCCCATTGTATAGGAACTAACAGTTGATCAAATTCCCATCTATCTTGCTGTAAACATTTAAACATAAAGAGCATTAAAAGAATTCTACCAATACTGTATATTTGTGAGTATAATGCACAGCTTTTACCCTAAAGAGAGCTTACCAAACTTTGGGTGCACATTATAGATAGAGCCAATAAAAATTGAAATTTTGGCAAAAGGTCTTTCGGTCACTATCGATAGTCTGTTAGTCTGAACTCTCTAAAAGGGAAGAGTTGATAAAGCCAGTCATACAAAGGTATCAGGTGCTCAGGAAATGTGAGCATTATCAGACATGCTGAAGACACTTTTAATATTCAATGCATTTCAGATCTTGCTATTTAAGTTCATATTTTAAATAACAAACCTCATCTTTTGTTAAATGTTTGACTCGTGTTGGTTCTTGTGGCTGAAAAGATAAAGAAAACATTTTATTTCTAAATTGATAAACAAATCTACAACGAATGAATGCGTAATTAAATTAAGAAACAATTTCTCTACCCCCTCCCCTCCCACCCTTGAGAAAAAATTCACCCACCCTGCTACCTGCAAAAACGATGTTAAAGAATGGAGATGGAAACAAAACTTACCAATCTAACTTTTTTACATAAACTTGCTAAACTGCCTTTCTGTAATGTTAATTTATGAAAATATAATAGAATAATATACAAAAATAATGGGCCGTGTTGGGGATACAAAATTGTCAAGGGGAGCTCAAGGTACCAGACACATAACTCAGTTATAAGAAATTTGAGAGAGGGCCAAAACCAGACATGTCTTAAAACCTTGGGTCACCATGTCCCCTCTCTACTCTTTTTATAAATTCCACCACCTTAAAAAAGATAATGATAACAAGCCTTGATTTAATAGACCAACTAGGTCTGTCACTATGCCCCCTCCTCCCTTCTCATTGCCAATGTTGTACAGCAACAATTTAGATGACTCTACAGTATGAAGATTTTCCTACTTACTTTGATAATGAATGGTTTATCTTCTAGTATACTCTCCTTACGAGTTTTTGATAATTTTCTATAATATACATCTAAATCCATTGCAGCTGAAATTACAATAGCAAACATCGTGGATTAGATTTTCATTAAACTCAAATTTTGAAGATAACAGTTCAAAGATAATACTCTTGGGGCCATATGCAGCGCTCGTACTTTACCTAAACTTTGATTTAAGTCTAACTTTAGGTATTCACCAGTCGATCTTTATGAAAGTCGTGCTTAAATTTGACTATCAAATGTAGAAAATGAAAGCCTTAATCCAAACTTTGTAAAGTTTAACTTAAGTCAAGGTAAGAGCGCTGCATACGACCCTAAGCATATCAATAAGTCATTTCCAAACTGATATACATATTACAACCCTACTATGAGTTTCGCAATTTTTCATCTGGGATATCACCTTTAATTTTTTATTCTAGGGCTCTTATATGCGCTTTTTAAAATCGTAAGCACATATCATAGGTGATATTCATCAAGAGCTTAATCCTTTCTATACAGGATGGCCACTTAAAAGAGCTAAAAGCTTGTGATAAATGTTCCTAACCTACCTTTTAAATCTCCAGTACTGGCTCTACGTTTTAACATATTATCATCTGAAGATGATTTTTTCAATATAGATCTAACTGGACCATGAATTGTATTATATGTATCTGATTGGGTTTCATTTACAAAATTTGCAGAAGGCTGAAAACAAAATACACAGATACTTATTATTTTAAAGAGATTGTTAAGAGTTTTCTGTATTGTTAATGTGTATCAGAGACATTGATAGCATCGATTTACACCATTCCATTTTCCAGTCATACTTTCTGAAATTCCATTAATTGTTTAAAGTGATTTTTGATTGAGCACCATCAGAACGTCCTGTACATTTGGAAGAATCAAACCCTCTATTTCACTCACATCTACCGATGAAAAATAGTCTAATAAACTGAACTATGTAATGAAAAATATACAAATTATACACACCACTTGTAAAAATTGCATTTTATTTTCTTTCTTCTCTGGTTTTGAATCTACTTCATCGTTGTTTTCCTCGTCAACTTTGGTGACCATAAATCTGGGACGAACTCCTGCTGACGTATCGGTCACATCCTCTTCAATAATAGTGACAGGGGGACTGAACTCTAGGGGCGAGGAACGACCTGATGGGGGTGGGGGTGAATCATCATCACTCATTTCCATAGGTATTATTTTTCTATCATGGCTTAAATGTAACCATAAAATTCTCTCTAACTCATAGCGTTGTACTGAACCTAATAAAATCATGGATTCTGAAATGGAAAACACAATTTGTAATCATTTGGAGATGGGAAACACGATTTAATCTAAAGATTGAAAACATTTAGATAACACAATTTAGTTAAGAGATGATAAACACAATTCTGAGATTTAAAACACCAATAGTTTATGGATTAAATTATCATTATTTTATGATAAAAATTTACCTGCAGAATCCACCAAGGGATAAGCTTTAAAATATGTGGCCATCAATAAATCGTGTAGTTCACCATAGGAAAAATTAAAACTAATAAAATGAACATCTTTCACCATAAAATCTTCTACAAACACATTCCATGTGCTGAATAAAATGAAGAAGAAAATAACAAATGGATACTTGTGATAGCATAACTGGCATAACGCAGACACCACAATATTGAGAGGCAAAACACAGACACCATTATATTGAGAGGCAAAACACAGACACCATTATATTGAATGACAAAACACAGACACCATACTATTGAGAGGCAAAAGGCAGACACCATAATATTGAGAGGCAAAACGCAGACAAGGTAAGATAGCATTAAGTATAGGCAAACAAAATCAAGAAAGAAAGATAACTCACTCTGCCTTAGTTGAGACAATATCTGGTAAATATGGAAGTTTTTTCAATTGAATAATGGAATCATAAAATGATGGTTGTAGTTTATTAGCTACAGCATTGGCTATTAGTACTGATATCTGAAAATAATAAAAGCATACGATCACCAGAGTGTCTTCAAGAATTCAGTTTGTCTACTATCTGATACAAAAGAAAATTCCGAGTTACATATAGGGAATAAAATAAGCCTAAGCCACAGATATATTTCCAGCTATTTCAGTTAAAGAAATGATAGTATTACAGAGACATCCATAGTTAACATATCTAATTATCTTAACCTTTAACTTGCCCTTGTTATATCATAAATCTTTACTTTGTGACCTAGGCCAGTGCTTTCATGAGACTTTGTTCTCATCACCATCCAACACAGAATGAATCATCTCCATTTAAACTAAAAACTTACCACAGCTGGTAGGACATGATTTATTTGTCCAGTAAGTTCAAACACTATAACAGATGTTGATATAGTTCTAGTAACACTGCCAGATAATGAGGCTGCTCCTAAAAAGAAATCCAAGAAAAGGTCAGACGCGAATGCTACAAGCTTGTCTTCTGTGACAAAACAAATTAAGATGGAGTTTTGTGGCAATGAATATGCAGACACAAATCAAAATTATTCTAAATAGATCAGACACAAATGCTACATGCTTTTCTCCTTTGATAAAACCCTGATTAGTCTTCTTTTCTGTTTCAGTTTTGCCATGCCACAGATTTTTTATTTTTATCCCATACCCTCTCTAAATTGGAGTTATATGATCAATAAAATTGAGAAAATGTGAAATTAGATCTTACCTACTACAGCGTAGCCACCAGGTACTATTTTTCTCACAATATCTCCTGATCTTATACCAGCAGGAAACCAGGCAGCCATACTTTCACCTACTAATCTACCGAATGCTGCACCTACAATATAAATTAAACTTTCTATTGTCTTTCTAATGTATCAAATTTTCAGTCTGTGGGTCTTGTAATTCTACTAAAACTATGTGTTCTATGACACAACTATCACAGAATCTGTTAATGATAACTTAAGGCCTTGGAGATAGTGGTGTCACATGACACTTAGAATTAGTGGGATTGCAAGACCCACAGATGTCTGATTGGACCCACAGACGTCTGATTGGACCCACAGACGTCTGATTGGACCCACAGACGTCAGTAGTACATGAGCTTATAGATTGGTCGCTTAGGGGGAATCCCCATTCCATTTCATTTTTCATTTTATAAGTGAGAGTATACTCTCTTTTTGATGGAATGTAGGAAATTGATTGAAGGTGTTTTTAGTGTATGAAATGTAAGGGTGTTTAGGTGTAAGAATTTATAGGGAGTTTAGGTCTTTTTTAGTGTAAGAATTTATGAAATGTAGGGAATTTAGGTGTAAGAATTTATGAAATGTAGGGAGTTTAGGTCTTTTTGGGAGCTTATATATTGGTTGCATTTTCCCTATGAAATGAAATGGAATGGGGATTCCCCCTATGCGACCAATCTATAAGCTCATATACTACTGACGTCTGATTGGACCCACAGACGTCTGATTGAATACGGGAATTGTGCAAATGGATACTTTCACTGTCCACGAGTTTAAGACAACCTCTTCATCAAAGGGTAAGGTTTGACCTCTCCTGAAATGAACTTGCAGAGAAGTGTCAAAAAAGTTGATAAATAAAAAATGGTTGAACCTACCCACAGTAAAAACAGGTACAAAGATACCAGCTGGAATTGGTAGAGTGTTGGCTAATACTCCATTTATAAACTACAAAAAAATAACAATCATACAATTAAACTAAAAATCAATTCTGGTTCAGATTCATGCCTTAAAGAATGTTGCCACTTGGTTTACTAAAGGTGCGGGCACACAAGCGGCCTTGGTCGGATATTTTTGTCTCTGACTCGAATCCTGAGTAAAATATTGCCCGTGCTTTCAAGACAAGATTATCGTGTCACCGACAGGATTTATAATATCAAACAAGTTTGATAATTGTCTCTGATTGTGTTATCGTCAAGAAAGACAGACCGTCATCATCCAATCAGATTCCTTTTCCTTTCAATTGCATGCTCCGCACATTATTATCGACACGGTGGAAAACGATAGACTTGAGATTTTTGTCTCAAACTGAACCCTGGACCTGCTGGTAAGCAAGCAAGTTTTTTAACTCAACAAGATAATAAGTTGTTATACTTACAGTCATTATAATAAAGAAGACCAGTGTCACGTACATGTTGGTAAGTGGATGATGCCAGTGACTTAAGATAGCTTCATCATCAAGATCATCAGCTTGTCCTGTAGTCCATGTTATATTACTGAATAACTCATTCACAGCTTGTCGTCCTGTAAGCTACAAATACAAGGGCAATAACTCAATGACAGACTGTTGTCCTGTTAACTAGAGATAGAAATATAACTGCGAATACAAGGGCAATAACTCATTAGTTTGTCCTGTAAACTAGAGATAAACATAACCGCCAATACAAGGGCAATAACTCATAAGAGGTTTCCACAGTAACCTTAGTTTATATGAACATTTTAAGAAATTTTTTCAGAATAAATAAACATATCATATCAAACCCAGTCCACAAACATTAATAACTATATATCAATACAAGGGCAGTAACTCTTGACGAGGTTTCTACAATAACCTTAGTTCTTCTTTTAAATCTTTTTAATATTTTTGGAAGACAGTGCACCCTTCAAATGAGGAATCTCTTACACCTTGATGTTCTTGATCAAGATTTTCAAATTTTATAATAACAGAATAACAAAATATATTACCTGACCAGCAAAGAATTGTCCGAGACCAGGCGGGAATGTTAAAGTTGATATTAACAAGGCTATAAAACCAGGATATATAAAACGACTGAAAATAAATACAATAGAGTTTTACATCCTTTTGTTATTTAGCTTCATGATAATCCTGTGTATCACTATGATCTTGGGCAAAACCTCTTGCCATTGATCTTTCCTGGATTATCCATACTAGGTCCCTGGGATAATAAGCAAAGATAACTAATCTTGTAATTCAATGATTTGAAAATAGAAAATAAAATAAACAGAGCTTACTTTTTTTGTAAAAATGAAGATAATCTTTTTCTTTTTCGAGTAAATAAAACAACTTTTCTATGTGTTACTATAAACAGTGCTCCACCAAACCCACACGCTATACTGAAATTAAAATATAATTATTATAAATTCTGAAAACAAAGAGAATTTAAAGGAAATTTATACACAAATAATTAGCATTCATTGAAAGAGCAAGATACAAAAATAGTGAAATGAAAAGATTTGAAACAGATGTGTAGAATTTCACTTTATTTTGGCTGACCCAGAACATTGTAAAACCAACATACTTTCATGTTATTTCTATATAATTTGATCCTCTGAAGACCATTGACTATTAACATTAACAAAAATAAAGTGATTCTACCCAAATATTTGGGTATATATATAAAGCTGATATTGAGCTTTGTCAGCTTGTAAAAATTCTTTAGAGGACTAGCTCCCTTTAAAAAATTCAATTTCAAAGCCTTTATATGAGTTATATTAGCTTAAAAACACATCTCAATATTAATACATTTTAATGTGGTTATATGAAAATAATATTTATCATGCATACACCTGTCAACTTTATGCAAATCATGTTTACTAGTAAGGTTGTATTGTTTGATGTCACGATAAAATGAGATAATGATATGCGCATATTTATGCAACATTAAAAATGAAGGAGATATGATACATGATGGTACATAATTCTGAGAAAATAGTGCATCAAGTGTGCACTTTGAAGTATTTTTAAAATTAAATAAGTTAATGATATGCGCATATTTATGCAATATTTAAAATAACAGACAACATTCATGGTAGTACATTATCTGAATAAGATGGTGTGCATAAAACCATTAGACTGCTGATTTGGCTGTGTTTGACAACAATGTCTGACTGGAGCAAAAAATGTCTGGCAGAGATTATTCACATAATCTATGAATTTGGTTTTCTTTAATCACATATTTACTATAGAAATACATAACAAAAAATAATGATGAAAGAAAAATATCAATAACCCTAAATGGAGGTCGAATATATTAGTTATTCAAATCTAATATAGCTGGAAATGTTTTACTTACCCAATAGCAGCAAAAGCAATTAATTCTAAGGCATCAAAGGGAAATTCTGAACGTAAACTTGTTTTAAATAAAGCTGTAATGGTTTCTGAAAAATGGAAATAAAAGAATATGACATTGCTGTTGTACAATATGTTCTTTTTACAATTATTATGATGTTCTTTTTAAACTTTTCACTTTTCTGATGTTCTTTTTATATCTTTGATGATGTTTTTTTTATATCTTTGATGATGTTTTTTTAAAACTGTGCACTCTTATGATGTTCTTTTTACATCTTTTATGATGTTCTTTTTACATCTACTATGATGTTCTTTTAACAACTATTATGATGTTCGTCTAGCAAAATTTATGTTATAATATTAATGATGTTCTTTTTAGATGATAATTTTTTCAAATTGAATAATTTTACACAAACATTAATCGTAAACCTCATTCTTGATGTTCTTTTAACAATTTTTATGTCTTTTTTCATGTTCTTTTTTCATTTCGTGTTCTTAATATAAGCATTTATGGTGTTCAGTGTTATATGCATCACAAATGCACTAATCTGTACAGGAATGTCATGTAAAATATGTAGTAGACAGAGAGTCTGTTAACACCCTCAATAAAATACATTTTTACTTTTCATTCATCAACATGTTCACGCATGGAAAATTTTTACATATATTAAAACTTCGAAATGTCACAGTTATATTTAAATTAGACTGGCTTACAATTTTCAGAAATTGTTCTCCCACTCACTCTCAGTGCATTCGAATTCTATTTCCAACTGGAAAGCTTCCAACTTCCCATTTTTCCTAGAGGTAACGAATACAGCACAAGTCTGCTAAAACTTCCATCAGACCAATTGTGCTACAGTGGTACAGATAGTTGGAATTAAAGGCAGGGCTAGACTAGAGCCCAGAAGGGTAGAGCAAAGAACCAGCTTGGAGAGACCAGTGTCATAATCTCACAATCATTTACCCATTGGAGTGGAGTGGACGACCAATTTGTTCAACGAGCCCAGACCTGCCAGTTTGCTCCCTATAAAGGGGTCAGTTGATATGAAAACTACGAATGGTTCTGTTCTAACAATTGCATCACATTTATAAAATGTCGAACTGACAATCCCAATACATACTGAATGTCAACTAATTTAGAAACATTTGATAATAAACCTAACTGTCAAGATGTCAAGGGATTCTGTTATATTTTATCTTAGTGCAGATGAAAAAAAGAATGGCATGCCAACATTTATGACTCTAACAATAATAAAATTCTTATTTAATGTTATAAACAGACAATACAAATGGCAAAAAAAGTATTAACACAATGTTATTATAGTTGACAAGAAGGCAGACTTAAATGTTTTTACCGTTCATGTCCAATTAGAAGTCAAAAATGTCAAGATTAATAGAGGTAATTTGCAAGGGCTTCTGATTGGAATAACAATATATTAGGATACACTGATAAAGAGATGTTAACATCAATGAATCATGCTTTGCTGGTTTTGTCTTTCTAGCCAGTCTTGTCTGATTAGAGACGTAAAAGACACCAAGAAAGAGAGCCACAAAAAGAACACAGCCAATTTTACAACTCTGTTGCACTACTGTAAAAGGTCTGAAGGTAATTGGGCTCAAATCTACAGACATTTTCCTCATTACAGAAACAAGGTAAGAGTAATTTGATATACTACCTTCATCTTTAAACCATAAAGCCAGTAATCTGAACACTAAGGCTCCACAAACAGCAGAGAAAAATCCTCTCCAATAATTTCTCACAGCAAAATAAGTGGCAGTTACTTCAATACTGAATAGTACACCTGCAAAACAGAGAGCATCAAAAAATAAAAAATAAATAAAATGGTGGTTTCTGTTCTACTTTTCTGCACCTAATTGGGTTAATGATGATGTGCGACACCATGCAGTGTGTAATGAGGAAAATTTTGTCAGTACAGCGATGTTAGTCTGCTAAGGGATCTTGATACAGTCTGCAGGCCTCAGGTCCCATCCAAATGACTAGATTTTCATGTTAGCCCTACAGACCTGCGAAAACCATAAAAGATCAAAGGCAAAAATATATCTGTGTCCCCAGGGAACAATATAGAGTAATCTTATATTTTACATATATACTAACCACCAATTGGTGCAGCAAATGTTCCTGCCACCCCAACAGCACAGGCTGCGGCCAGCATCTCACACCGCCTTGATTCATTCTGGAAAATAAAGTTAGGGCCCTGGATGCATTTGGAATAATCGACATTATTTGCCTGTATATATAGATATGGCTGTGACATTATTTGCCTGCATATATAGATATGGCCCTGACATTATTTGCCTGTATATGTAGATATGGCCATGCCATTATTTGTCTGTATATGTAGATATGGCCCTGCTATTATTTGTCTGTATATGTAGATATCGCCCTGACATTATTTGCCTGTATATGTAGATATGGCCATGCTATTATTTGTCTGTATATGTAGATATGGCCCTGCCATTATTTGTCTGTATATGTAGATATGGCCCTGTTATTATTTGTCTGTATATGTAGTAAAAACATACCTCATATATACCACGGAATGAAGTTACTAGTTTACTTAGTAAAGTTGCTACAATACTAGCTATATGTACAAATGGACCCTGAAAGTACAATAGAAAATAATATTAATCCAAGGGACAGATGCGCCATTTGGAGGGGTTGAATATATGTAAATAGTCTTCAGAAGTACTAAAAATGTAAGAAATTTCACAGAGTTTTAAGAAACTTGACATGTCGTCTTTTTAACTTTCGAATGCGGATAATTCTGAACACACATGGATTTGAAAGCTCAAATTTTGACAGTGAGCTTTTAACACAATTACTGATTAACTTAGGTAAAATCTCCTGTTTCTGGGACTAAGATACAATTGGTCAAACATATGGTGAATCTGTCCCTTCAACAATGCAATTATACAAGACTATCAAAGTTTATCAAACAGGATGTGTATGACAATTTATAATACACACCTATTTCAGAAATTTAAAACACAAGAAACTTCCATTTTATGATTAAGTACATATCACGTTTATCATAATTCAAAGAAAAAAGTTTATTAGGAGAAAATACATTTTAAATGCTCAATAACAAGGGCAATAACTCTAATTGATTTAACAAAAAAAAAATTCATTTTATGATCAAATACACATTATGATTAGGAAAATCAAAAGAAAATATTTTTAGGAAAAAGAATATAATTTTTTCAGTGTTCAAGAACAAGGGCAATAACTCTTACTGATATGAAAACCAATAATTCATTGGAGCAATATTAGTTGCAAATATTAGGAGCAGATAAAGCCAGATCAGCATTTATGAGACCATATACAAGTAAATTGTTGCATACCTCCTACTATAAGGCAAGTGACTTGATGTTTGTCTATTTCCCCAAAAAGTGAACAGCATGACGTCCAAGACAAATATTTGGAAGAAAAACATTACAAAAAGAAACAGATTTTTTTTGGCTAACAATTGTCAGATTTTTTGATAAATAACATAAAGTAAGAATGATAAATTCATAGGCCATTAATATTCCCTGCCTGGGGCAACACATAAAATTTGACACATTAGATTTATAAAGTGTAACAATACTCAAAGCCTCAGTTTCTTGGCTTGCTTCTTTAGAAATGAAATGAATGGAGTTTTACATCCTACTTTTCTCTTGCTTCTTTGGAGTCAGGTCTACTTGTATGAAAGATTTATCTGTGTCACAGATTTTTATGCGATTTTTTCACATACTGCACATACTTTACGACAATTTACAGAGATTCTTTGTGACAATTTACAGAGATTCTTTGTGACAATTTACAGAGATTCTTTGTGACAATCTACAGAAATTCTTTGTGACAATTTACAGAGATTTTCTGAGACAATTTACAGAGATTCTCAGGGAATTTTCCTCATATTTAGCAACTTGATTAATTGTGTCTGCTTATCTATACTTCATGATATTTATGCTGCCTTGCCAGTCATCTCCAGAAAATAGAGTTAAACAACAACCCTGATCAACACTATTGAAAGATTTCAAGATAAAGGTTATAAATGTCACGTCAAAGACGTCTAGTTACATGTACCAATAAATAATCGGTAATTTATCAAAAGAATGTCGTAACTACGGTAAACAATTGATTGATATGTTAAGTTACATGATTGACATGGAGCTCTCTCACTCTTATTTCACTACTTTTAAAGGATGATTTATTTTCAAAATTTTAATATTTTTCCCATCAATTATTCTTTAACTGACTTATTTTTCTTTTTTTTTTTCAAAATTTTAATATTTTAACACCATTGTAACTATCAGCTGATCTATTTATATCCATTTTCTGTACTTTAATACTTTTTTTTTTCTTTTTAAAAGTAATTTGACTTTCTTTGAACTTAACCTACATAATTTCTACGTATGCATTTACGTTATCAATACGTCAATTGTATTTCAGAAAAAAAAACTGGGTAGGTCTGATACATAAATTCTTAGCAAAGGTTGTCGCGATATTTATCGTTTATATTTTTTGAGTACATCTTGCAAAATCTAAGTATGGTTTACACTAGTATGTAGATTTAATAAAAAAATTAGCATAGGGACAATCATAGAAAGATCAATGCCAAGATGTTTGGTCTAGGACTAGCCTGTAGACTGGCCTTTAAAAAATCTCAGAAATAATTGAATCTCCTACCTCTTTCCCCAAAGGTAATGTACTTCCCAATGATGCACATAATCCGACAATTTTAGCCACCAGGGTTCGGAATGTTAAATATTCTTTTAAAATCACACCACGTAATATAGTCTTCATTTCTGGTATACCAGACCCTAGAAACAGAGAACCAGACACAATCAAACACAGGGGCAGATTGAGGGGTGGGACCACCTTATGAAGTCTATCTGGTGAAAAAATCTAGTTGGATACAGTGAGGGAAAAAGTAGTATTTTTCATTTGAGAAATGGGTTGGGGTCTTTTGAAACCCATTTGTCTGAGGACCCAGAGTTGCTCAGTATGCACATTCCTTTATCCGGGCTCCCCTGTGCCCCTTTGCCGATTTTAAAGGGCACGAGTCATGTTTGGGGGGTCAGAGGGGCCTTACCTACAAAATTATCTAATGTGGGAAAAATACACGTGTTTTTGGAAGTGAAAGTAGAATAAATTCTTTATTTTTCATGGCCCGAGGGGGAACACCAAAATACACCACTGTCTCTATACTCTATGTACTTACCTATAGCTTGTGGTGAAACTAGATGTGTAAAGCCAGTAGCAAATAATATAAACAGTATAGAGTAGGACATCCAGGCAAAATACTGGAGTGTCACAGAAAATGATAATTCTTGATACAACCAAAACTTAGCTGAAATAGATATAATATTTAGATATTAGAAAAGAAACAGAACCCGGTTTTATTTTACAAATAAGGGTATAGCTCAGTCTGTACAGAGTAGGTTCGTTATTTGCTAGGTTAGTAAGTGCTGTGGGTTTGAATCCTGCTCAAGGTAAGAAAACATTCCGATGCCAAGGCCAGTGCTTCTAAAAATTGAGTCATTTTTCAACCTCAATCACAAATTACTTTCCAATCACTGTGCCATAGGTTTTTGAAGACCCAGTCTACCTGCTGGTCCTTAGTCAAAAACAATGGTGATGATCTAATTTGAGGCCTAATGCACATATTAAAAGTCTAAAATCCTCTTTTAAACCCTCACAGATCTAATCCTACCTACCTTCCTGGCATTTCTCTATTATAAAATCCATAGTAAAACTAAGTAAAGCCATCAATACGCCTAATATAGCCAGAAATATCCAGTCTTCTCCAACCTTGGAGAACACAAAGTCCCTCACTCTGGCACATCCAGCTGAAATTGGAAGAACATTATGAGATTGAAAATGACTTTGAACAGTAGTGTAAACAAAAATAAGTTATATACCCTAAACTCAACGTAATATGACTTAAAGCATATATGAAGTCACTTTGTAACAGTTGATTAATCTATAGGGTAATCAGGGTTATTAAATGTATAGTAGTTATTAGCTATGAAATAGTTAAAGTGAGGAAAGAGAGTGGGTAGAGGAACACTTTTCTAAAAATAAGCCTTTTTATTCTTTCACCATGATATGCAAGCTCACCATGGGTGCAAGGTTTTGTTAACACTGTAACAGTATCAAGACGAATCCTCACCTAAAAATTTCCATATTCCAGTGGGTGGTTTATTATCTATTTGTTGTTTGGCTTCTTTCTTTAATCTCTTAGCCTGGAACTTGGCAAATGAACCCAACTCTCTAGAATATCGTCCATATAACTGGAGAGAAAAAACATAATAATCAACATATTGGGTAGATCTACATAAACACAATGCAAAAATCAATATAGTGAAGCTAATGATACATAGATCTAAGCATATTCCAGGCCTATATAAGTAATAATAAGCCGGACTTACAATAACAAAAGCTTAAAGAGATCATTAAGGGGGACAACTAGTAAAAATGCACTGCAAATTAGGACTGTTGATTTACTCTTTGCCAGCCATGTCTGACTGAACATAGTCATAGGTCTAGCCACTTTCAATGACGGATTGAGAATTTAAATTTCTTTTAGATAGCCCATGGTTACGTGATTGTTGCCCTTTAAACAGTTTTATATAAGGGTGATAGATATTCTGTTACATTTGTCGTAAATTTTTAAGAAATAGATTTGCATCAACGATTACTTTATAAAGATATATCATCAAGTTAAGGTGTCAAAAATGGCAGTTTCGGCCAAAATATAGTGAAAATTGAATAGTGACATACATTTTCTGATATATCATTCAATTCTGTGATGACTGCAGAGCCATTTTATCATAACGTAAGCATTTGTCATTCATAAATATCCAAATAATTAAACTTACTAGAGTTTGTTCATAGCCAAACTTCTGTTTATCCGCCATGCTTTTCACCACCTAGCGGCAGAGAACTATTCTCCGTCCTGGTTGGTTGATGAGTTTTATGACGTCACACGTCAGGCTGGAATAAACACCGAAAACATTAGCATTGTACAGGAATCAACCATAATATACCACATTAAACATGGATAAAATCAAAAATGATAAAAAAAATGAGCAAATAAATAATAAGAGAAATATGAATATGTATTTAGTTTAACGACTGGTAGAACTTCATTCACGTTACATGTATCATATGTCAGAAAAAAATCAGGCATATAGTTCGTCTACAATTAAGTGAAATTACGTTAATTGTCAGATATTGAAAAGTACTACGGTAAGCAAGACGACAGTATAGGCCTCCTTTAAAAAATAAGGTCCAAGGATGGTGACATTGACAAGCGTAATATTTGACAGAACGACAAGTTTTATAGGCAATATTCTGAGGTTATTCGACCGGTCTGGTTTTTTACTTTGACGCCTTACATCTTTCATAGTGCCCTTGTCCCTTAGCCTACTCGGTCAAAGTGTCAGCCTTCAACTCATCATTTCACATTTTCATTCATAAATGTGACGTCAGTGGTGATAAAATTCTCGGGAAAAGCTACAGGTTATTTTTGAGCAGAGCACAAAACAAAATTTGGACTTTCATTGCTCTCATGCCAGTGAGAACCAATCGCTCGCTCGCTTACTTAGTCATTCATTCATTGTTTCGTTCGTTCATTCATTCATTCCCTCACTCCTTTATTCATTCATTCATTCATTGATGTAATACAGGTGTTGTTTTCACAGCGTTATCAGATTGCCCTGTCAGCGCTTTGTTTGATGGTACTAAAAATCACCTGTATGCCCAAAGGACAAAGGGCGATTGGGATTTGTATCAAATATTTCTGGTAGCTCACTATCTTGATCAGTCAAAGGGGTACGAGTTAGACGACATTTATCCCTTGATCATAGAATACGGATAATTCGATTATGTGCTCTATAGATTGGCATTATGTTGTTTTAATTAATCCAATTGGTTGAGCAATAAGACCAATCACATTAATTCATTGGACACCGTTCTCTTGGTTCAAGGTTTTTGAAAGTCCATGTGACTAGACTATCCAATATTCAAAATATTTTTATAACTATAGAAGTAGAACACAGTTTATATTTCGGCACAATTAATTACACATGTTGACAATATAATAAATTAGCTAATAAGTTAATTAGATGATAAAGCATGACTGGTGTAATTAGAGTTAACAGAAGACCTTAACCCGGCGACGACAGCAGGGAGAGTTCTAAAGATACGTGGAAAATGAGTTTTACTTTCTTGAGGATTTTTATCATTTTGAAAAATAACATCCTATTCTTATTATACGAGTATATCCCTTTAATACATATTTTATTGTACATTGATGACGAAATATGCTGGATAAAATCTTAAGGAAGGACAAATTAGTCACGATCAAAGATTGAAATAGACATTTTAAATTTACATAATTCATAATAATTTAAATAAATGCTTCGCGGAGAGACTGCAATAACAATAGGGCCTTTATTTTAAGTCATATTACGCCTTTGTTCTGCATTCTCGTCATTTCCCTTTAAAATTTGTCATAAAAAGACGGAAGCAACCATAGGTCGACTAAATTTTTGTTTTAAGCTGTAAGCTGTTTGTATCAATCCTCTAAGGTAGCACGAGTCAGTCGATATCAGACCCTTGATACGCCTATATAGCAGTCCAATGTTATAAGGGAATGTAATGGAAAGTGGTGAGGAATTCGAGTATAAAATCAAAACAAATTTTTTGAATAACTCCTATCAAATATATCTATATGAAATACATTAAGGTTTTTTTTTTTAATTCGTATGCATAGAATTGGTTGTATAACAAGTTTTGTGTTAAAGGTATGTTTGTGTTAAAGGTATGTTATCAGCTAAATATTTTCTTTTTAGGGCTTAATTTAAGCTTCCCGTGTATAAATTTTTCAGAATGGGAATCAGAATATGGTCCGTTTATACTCGGAGGTTATGACTCCGATCAAAGTTTCCTAGCCGTTGTTTTCAAATATTTTAGAGGTATTACCAATACTATGACGTCATTGTTTAGAGTATCGTTCTCCAACCCTCGTTACTTCTCCCTAAAGGGATTGTAAAGAGGTTTTCTAAATTTTTCAAGTGTATCCATTTGCACCAATCCAATTTGCAATCACATATCTATAGTTCTATACCCTTTATACATTTAGTTCCTTATTTATTAGACGACTATATTAGATATCCATATCCCTTTAAAAGAAAACTGAAACCGGTCTTGATAAGCTATTATACCAGTTAGAAGTATATATAACTAACACGTTATCACACAATGCTTCTATAATAACCAGCTGATTCTTCCTTCCTTTTATTTACTGCATATAAATACCCTTTAAACTACCCTTTTACTAAATCATTGACTATATATAAAGGGCCTTTAAAGTGCCATTTCAAAGGATATGTGCAAAAGGGGAAGGGGTGGTCCTTTACAAGGGATTAATGTAAAGGTGGAAAGAGGGGATGTTCTTTCCTGTAAGCAAAGAGCAGCAACGAAACGTCCCCTTATTTTTTATATATAAATACCCTTTACAAAGAATTCATTGGAGGGGGGGGGGGGGGCAAAAGTATTAGAATATCGTATCCCTTTAGAGATATTGAAACCACATTGCATACAATTTAGTGTGTATAACCTTAAGGAAACACATGGCCCATGGGGTCATTGCCCCTTCGCTCCCATAATGCTAGCCATGTCATATGGAAATATGTTTTCAATATGGCAATGACAGCTTAGCAAGAAAGGACATTTTGGTCAGTGTGTTCCAAATAATAGCCAGATGTTGTACTGAAAGGATAATAATTTGTATCAAAAATGCCACAATTTATATTAAAATGGTCTGTAGAGAAGAAGTTATAGTCGTAAAGTGGCATCAGGTATAACGATAAACAGATAATGTAAGGAGAAGAATGGAAATAACATGTATCACATAAGCAATGTGAACTCTCTAAAAAGATATGCCGAGTTGACAAACCCAACCTCAGAGTGGTATCAAAGTTTGGTTTATTACTTAAAGTATATACCTGTAAAACAAGTATAAAAGTAAAGTATAAACGAAAACTATTTAACTAAAGAAAAAGTATAAAAGATATAAAAGAGCCCTACCTTCTCTAGGGCACGTTTCCCTTTACTCCACATACACTCGTTATATTGCCCCAATCACCGAATATACAAATCAAGTACCGGTATTGTCTCGAATATGACTCAATAAAGCCCACTTAAACCGCGAAATGACAGTATATATGTATAGTGATATATCTCAAGTTAGAAATAATGTCATTTAGTCCACAAGTCAGCCTCTAGCGACACTCTGACGTATTTTATTATTAAAATGACATGCTTCTATTCTTATTTATATCTTTGAGTCTAAATTTAGGTTGATGGTACGGGCTTCATAGTAGTAAATGATTGAGAGGGGCATTCGAATTTTGATGGAGTTTTACATCCTACTTTCTGCTCCCGATGGGTTAATAATACGGACAATGTCATAGTGTGCAATTGAGGGAAGATATTATCAGTGCATGTTGTACCCGGCCTCATATATATCAAAACTTTCTGACTTTTGCCAAACTCTGACTTAACTAACAGATATATTTATCAGAGGCCTACAAGAGTCAGCAAGTGTCGAACTAGCTATCTTCATGCTCATCATTTTAAAATACACCTACACAAATATCATACATAGCCTAGAGAGAAACACCCTTTTTTAATTGTTTGATATACGAAAGTATATACTAAAAGTTATGTCAACGAACAACAAGCTATTACGCCCTACAGGAACGCCTTAAACCACTTTGCTTCTGGGTTTTTGAGCAATATCAGAAAGGAGGACAGTTCCGGAACACATGATGCCACTTTGCGACCGACTTTTTCAATTTGACAACATAGAAATATATAGTTCTAACTTCATAACCAAGGCCCGTGATTTTTATTTTTTTTATGTAATTCTATTCTTATATCATCCTAACATAACCTTTTTGAAGTATCCATATAGTGTTAAGAGTGAAGAAGTTCCTAAAAACTTCTATGTAAAGCACTGGCCAAGGTAGTTTTAGAATTTAGATATAAAACGGCATAAGCAAGTCGTTGGTTGACCACTCTTCCGGAACTCTGCATTTTAATTGAACATCCTTTCTAGAAATATCTATTAATACTGTACATAAGGAATTTGCGTATGCATGGATACAGGGTATGATTATCCCTTTGGAACACCTGATGACATGGTACCCTGATGACAATTTGCGATTGAGTCATTCAGTAGCTTCCATTTTGGAGAGATCACAAGGTATTACTGCATGTTCCTTAAGCTTTGTACGATGATTATTCATATCCTACAAAGGGGGGTTATTATTCTCTAATGACAGGAATGTGGTATTGTGAAAGCAACGGTTAGATGCTTTTTGGAACAGTTTTCCTCAATCGGTCTCTGTTTCAGAGTCCGCATATAAATCCACTTCGTCTTCTGGAAGGTTCCTTGCATATATTACCAAGACAAGGATATCCTGACAAATATGTACAACCATAAAGCTAGAGGAAATCTAAGACATATTTTGATTAGGAATTTGCCCTTTTGTCACATACAAATGTAAATTGCCTTGCAAAACATTCCTCTCGTATAAGACTTGTTTTTACGCTCTAAAGAACATTCTTTGTAGATAGCATATAGGAATTTGAAAGAGTCGGCGGTAAAGCTAAAGCCTTTTACCTACCGACACGTTTTTGAAATACTTAAATCGGGTTTTCATTTTAAAAAGCGTTACGGGTAATTTGAATACAGTGGCGTTTTGTGCATTAGGTGATGGAGCCGAATAGGTGCCATATAACTGTCATAGAGGCATATTAGAAGATATTAGAAAGAGAGTGGGGGCAAAGCGTGGTCCTCTTTTATCTGCACCTCCCACCCGCCTTCCTTTTGATTATTAGATAGCCT